TAGTTTCCTATATTCCAGTGATTTGATAAGATATACAGTAGTAATAATCTGCTGACAATAATACAGTGAACTAGAAAGATTTTTATTTAAAAATACTGTAGAGAGAAATATTATTCCAAGGTCAAACTTAGAGGTTATTATGTTTATAATAAGTTAGTTAGATTAGAATAATAAATTAGCTTAATATGTATTATGCTGTTTGAATGAAAATATACTTATATTTTCAATTAATTAATAAATTAATAATCTAGCATAACTACGTGTACTTAAAAAAATAAATAAATAAATAAATAATATATTATATATTATATCATAGTTTGTATTATTTATAATTTATAAATTTAATCTCATTTCAAAAAAATTCATATATAAGTTTATCAATTTTTTTACTTTATTGCTAATAAATAGTTGCTAAATTTTTAATAAACCTTTAATAAATAATTTAATGAATAATTTCTGAATTTTTAATAAATTTTTGATTAATAGTTTTGATAAATAATTGTCAAATTTTTAATGAATAGTCAATGAATTTTTGATAAATTATTAATAAATTAATGTTAAATTTTTATTAAATTGTTAATAAATAATTTTGTGATAAATTTTTAATGAATTTTTGTTAAATTGTTAATGAATTATTTGATAAATTATTAATAAATTATTTGATAAATTGTTAATGAATTTTTTGATGAATTGTTAATATGACAATTTTTGTAATATTTATAGCTAAATTATATAGTTGCCTATTTATTTATATTATTTTTTTATCAAATTGTTTATTTTTTGTCAAATATTAAACAAATGACAATATGTCTAATAATTTTTTTTAGCTAGTATAACTTGAAAGTACTATTACTATGCTATTGACCTATAGATTACTAGGAAAACTACTAAAATTATATATAGTATATATTATTTTATATATTTTTATTATATTTTTTTATATTAAAAAAACTTTTTTCACTAAATCTTTAACTACACACAAAAAGATATTTGCATGAAGTTTTATACTTTCTTGCTAATAAAATCTTTATACTTTTATTATACTTTTATTAAAACAACTTAAAACTTGTCTTTATTTATTTCTTCTATCTTCCCATACTTGTTTATAAACCCCTTTTAATAAAAACTTGAGTCTCTAGTGGCCTAAAAAGACTCAAATACACACTTTCTCTACTAAAGGCAAGAATATTTTAGAAAGTAAAAGGATTGACAAGTGAAGTATTCCCTTACAGAGCTAAAAGTAATAAGAAATAGAGGTTCTGTTAATAGGAAAAGGCTTATTTTTCACCTTCTCATATACTGTCTTATATCTTTTTAAAATGTTTACTGTTTTTCATAGTTTTCTTGGGGGATTTTGCCTACCTTAGTTTGACCCTGAATTTTTGATAGTACAATGTCACTTGGCTTCTAATTGGTTAACACAAAACATATTAGTGGCTAAATATAAACAAGCTCCTATTGTTCACCTTATGTGTTTTGATAATGTTATTGATGATTGAAAGAGAAATCAAGAATACGAACTTCTTCACTCCTTCAAATAAAGTTTAACTGAAGCAAAGAAATCATGAGACCATTAAGATAGGCACTAAATTTTCTAGGTAATGAAAAAATAATTATTTGTTCAAGCTAAGGCCTTCAACTTCTTATTATTCTGATCAAGCAAAATATGTGATGGAGATTATTTCCTTATCCCAGTTAGGTTGTAAGATCAAAAAGCAGAGGAATATAAATCACTGCTTTTCTCTAGGATTGAGAATACATTTCCCCAGACATTGTATAATAATGTCACAATCAAGATGAACATCAGTAAAATTTCTTTAACTAAGTATGACTATTAGAAGATATTAGGAGTTACTCAACAAGACTAAAAAACTACATAACAATCTGGATCCACTATTAGGCATCTTCTTATATATAGATAGATATAAAATCAAAACTAAAAGAAAGAAAGTGTTGAGCAAGATACTGGATCCAAGTAGGTAATAAATATCTCAATGGTCATAAGAAAATAATCAAGGGTATGAATGAATAAGTTCCTTAGACAGTTAGAACGAAAAAGGATATCCTAGAAAGGTTAATTTTTAATGAGAAGAGGTTTTTAGTAGAGATCCTTTGGTGAACATTAAATATTTTTAATTTTCTTTTTTTCTTTTTATTTTCATATAGTATATTTACACATTTTTAGATATTCTCCTTTCCTTTTATTTTTTCTTTTTCCTTTTGTAGTTTTTTGAATTTAATTTCTTATAGAATAATAAGCAATGACAACCTGCTAGCAATTATGGGTAAATTAGGAGGGTTTTTACCCAAAACTTAGTTCAAAGTAAAATATTGTCCTTAAGATTGTACTTAAAGGTTGAAACTCTTCTGAGAATTGAAAGCCATTGACAAGTATATCAGTATAAGTTTTTTAGTTTAGCTATAATGCAATTGTCCTATATATCTTTATTGGTTTTCATAATGATTATTAAACATACAGTACTGGCCTGACCATGAGTTTAAAATATATATATATATATATTTATTTATTTATATTGAAAAAATATATATTTAAAGATTTTTTTTTTTATCTATAAATTGGAGTTGTTTATTTCTTATTTATATTTAATAAAGTTTTTCTTTAATTAAGATAAATATCAATAAATCAACTTTTTAATATTAAATATATTATTAAAGGTACCACTTGATTTTTGATTATCAAAAGTCAAGTTTTTAAGTGAAATGATTTGTAAACAAAAGAAGAAAAATAAAAATAATTCTTTAAGTTATACTTCAAATAGTTTTAATAAAAGTATTAAAAATTTATTAGTAAAAAAAATAAAAAAACTTTTTATAAACATTTTTTATATAAAATTAGAGAATTAGTAAAAAGAATTTTTTTAAAAAAACTAAGTTATATTATATCTATATAATATTTTATAATAACTATATCAAATTAAAAAATTTTACCAATATATACTTTTTATTATTCAAAAAATCAAATTTCTTAATATTTCTTGTCTTTATAATAATATAAGACTTTTAATTTAGAAAATAATAGTTAAAATTTCTATTAATTATAATATATTTAATAACTTTTAAAAAATAATATTTTTAACTATAAAGTTTTCATAAAATTATTACAAAAATTAAATAGTAAAATATAATAACAGATAACATATTAGATAGTTTATTAAGAAAATAAATATTAGAATAATAAATTATCAATAGATACAATAAAATAGAATAAAAGATAATAAAGTTAACAAATTTAAGAATAATAAATTTATATATAAAACTTGATATAAGAAAAAATTATGATAAATATTGTATATGTGAAATATCTATTTTAAAATTTTTTTTAAAAAAACTTTTTTATTAAATTGACTAATAATAATTTATTAATAATATATATACTAGTTGTAAAAAGATTAAATTTATATAAGCAAAAATAGTATATTATATATAATTAAGAAAAAAAATTAATAAAATATTTTTTAAAAAGCCTATTATATAACAATCTATTCTAAAAGACTTAGAATAAAGAAGTAGAAAGAATTTTTAAAGAGTTTAAAAAATTATATATAAAAAAAATGAAGTAAAAGAAAAACAATATTAAATAGAATATAGATAATAATAAAAAAATAGGAGTTAAATTAAAAAAAACTTTAAAAACTAGTTAAGATATATTTAGCTTTTATACAGAACTAATAAAAAAAGATTTAATAAAGAAGATAGCAAATTTGAAATGTCATAAAAATACTGTAAATTAGAAAAGATACAAATAAATAAATAGTGAAAATGCAAAAGAAGATATATAATCAAATTTAAAAGAAATCCGAAATTTAAAAAGTAAGAAGATTATAAATAAGAGCTAGTTTAGAAAATTTATAAAAATTTGCAAAGTAATTTGTAATAAAATCTTCAGATAATGATATTAAAAATAGGAAAAAATTTTATCTAAACTCCTAATAAAGCAATGAATCATTTCTAAAGTTATACTTAGAATTAATTAAACTAAAACAAGTGAGTTAGTTAGTTAAAGTTTTAGCTTTAGTAATACATATTAATATATAGTTTATTAATTTTTTAACAAAATATATATAACCAACTTAATAGAAAATAAAAAAAAAAAAATAATAATAATAATAATAAAATATTCTCAATTATAATTAAAGGATTAAACTAAAAACCCTCTAATTTATTGCTTAATTAGAATAAAAAAGAAATTTATATTTAAATTTTGCTTTAACTAGAATATTATTAGAGAATTACAAAAGAATCATAAAAAAAAAATTTAATACGTACAGTATATTAAAACCAAGTCAATTTTTTTTTAATTCTTCATCAGGCTAGTTACATGTGCTTTATCAAACAATTGTTGTTATACATGAATTTATATGTCATTAAAGTATTCTTTAACTAACTTACATATTCAAACTCATGGAAGTAATTTATCGCTCTATTAGCAGGTCAGATGAATATTAAAGACAAGTCATATTAACCTACTACAGATAAAAAAATATATACTGTATATACTGTATATTTTTTTAATTAATGATTTTAATATAAAATCAGGATTTAAATATAATTTACATAAATTATCGATGATACTTATTGTGTTGATATTAATTAAATTTAGATTTGACTTCATTAGGGCCTTCATTTCAGCTTTCGCTTCTTCCACTTTTTTGCACATGATCTAAAAATATCAGCTCGAAAATTATGTCGAAATTTTTATATGATCTCGAGGGATGCATGTGAGATTCCTGTACGATTAAATTATATGATTTAAGACAAGTAAATATAATTCTGTTAATAACACATTCCAACGTGCGATAACCAATCGATTTTAGTTCACTTGGATTTAAATTTTATTAAGTTCAATTTTTAGACAAAATGAAAGAATAAAGAACAGCTACAATTGTTTAAAACAGTCTGGCACACATTTCCCAAATTCTCTAGTTGAGCCATTATAAAGATCTCACATGCATTCTACATTTTCAGAAATCGAAATGCTTTTATTTTCCTTCCTTGAGTTTTGGTCCTTCTTTTTCATCCTTGTGTTCTGGAATGTGCTTGGAGGATTCTGATTTTTCCTTAACTGTCTCTTCCTTATGCTCAGGGATGTGTGTGGAAGGATCGGATTCTAAATGTTCTCCTTGAATGGATTCATCGTCGTCAAGGTCGAACATCGATTTTTCACCTGAAGTGTTTTGTTCACTCTTTTCGGGTGGAGTAAGTTGTCCAGGTACACTAGGTACATGCGTTTCAAGAGTTGATTCTACTGTTGACTGGGAAAACGTTTCGTGGGTAGCAAAGGTGATAACGAAGCCGAAGATAAACAAGAATTTTATAATTTGCATCTTTTTATATAAAAAAAAAAGGAAAAAGGAATATTAAATGTTTTATATTTTTTGTGTTGAATTTATTGTCTGAAAGAAAAAATTGCATGGCAGGATAATACCTTTTTATAAAAAATCTGACGAAGCAATTTCGATTAAAAAGTCGCCAATTTCTTGCATGCACATACCATTATACAGTATATCATACTTTCTATCCGTAATTTGTGATGAAATTATTTATAGCCGATAGCCCGAGACAAAATTTCATTTTACTTTATCAGCAATTTGAGCAACTTGAGCGATGAAAAAATTCGAAATTCGTCAGTATAATTGCCAAAGGTGTGTCTCGATGCGCCGCATTTAATATAAAAAGTTGGAAGCAAGTGGAATAGGAAAATGCAATTTCGCAACGAATAAATCAAACACGAATAGGCCTTTATTTGATCATGAGTTGGGTTAGCCATTGCGGCGAATAATAGTGATTAATCATAAACCTAGAAAAAAAAAAGGACGACCATGAATTACCAGATTTAATATCAATCTAAGAGTTCGCGTGCTTCTATCGTTGTTATGATTCGTGTACACAGTAAGCCGAATGGTAATCAATCCCATAATTTACCAAAACCATTAAAAGAAAAAATCGATAAGTTATGGTTCTTCTTTACACCAAACTAAATCAACCGATGATGAGTTGCTTCAACTGTTCAACTTCCTCCCCTTCATCGTGCGGCAAGGGGGATGATGATGAAATGTTCCAACCCAATACCCACCTATTTGGATCACTAAATTCTGAGGTTGCTAATTTTTGGTGTAAAGAGATTTCATTGGCTGTTACAAGGTTTTTTCGGATTGACCAATAAGAAGTAGTTTCGTTGGTACAAATAATGACCCCGAGCATAAATCACTCTGGATGACACGTCTTACTCGAGCAATGCGATGTTTCAACCAAGCAATGCTTCAAAAAAAAATCCGCTCTCAAATCGACCTTTTGCAGCTGAGCAGGGATTGCAAGGATTGCATACCTTTCCAATACATCCAATAGGAAGGTTTAATGGCGCATGTGCAAGTTACAAGCAGCCTGTAGAAATAATGAGCTTCAGCTATGACGACGAAAGGAATTTGCATATGGATGATAGAGAATTGGTTAGTGACTTTGGAAGCCAAGATTTAAACTTACGTGAATTTTTTTTAAAGAAAAAAATTTTTTTTTCAACGTTAGAAATATTATTATCCTCCGGATTTGAATAATTGTGATCTTTCTCATGGTTACGAGACATATGTGCAAAGAGAAAACAGTGGTCCGGAGCCAATTCATTCATTATTGGACGCATTGGCGCATGCAAAAAAATTATACGAAGATCAGAATCTAATGAGAACTGATTTGGTATGGTCTTTTTTGATAATGTGTCAACTCAATATTCTCAGGCGTAGACATTAAATATTTAATAAGCGATTTCCTTATAAGGTTTCCTGGAGAGGAGTCTTCACAAAAATCCTATGCACGCCTTACAATAGGAATGAACCTTGGGAACTGGGTGCTACATTATGGAATGTAAGCGATAACTTGCAATTAATGTCTAAAATTTTAGCAATACACTAAGAAAAAATTTTTGGATCATAGAATACCATGTACATATGATGTTTCTTTTCGCATCTAAAGCTCGGGAAACTATTTGTTTTTATTAACTATCAAAAGAATTGTAAACAAGTAGTTTTATAGAAGAACATGATACCGAGTACACAAAGGAGAATTCGGCAGGAAATACGCAAAGGCATAAATTAATGATGTATTGGGGGTACAAATTTGAGAATCTATGCACCATCGGTAAACCCGCCTCTCAAATTAGTTCAGCCGATGATCCTGAGCTTATGAGTAGAAAAACCTCTATAGTTAATACTAATGTTCAATATTGTTCGGTGGCAAAAACATCGTTGGGAAATAATAGGATAATCATGGGAGCCGAAATTGATTGTCTAAGTGGTATATAATTGGAACGAATTTGCATCAGCCCTCCTCAAAATCTCTGGCTAATCTTTCTATTTTATTTCTTCAAGAATTAAAACCAGCAAGACACTTAAATCCTATAAACAAATACATAGAATTGAAGACTTCGAGGATTATAACAAGAGAAGAAGAGAATTACAAGTTTGAGAAGTAACGGTTTTATTTTAATTTTTTAATTTTAGAGTTCTTGGTTGGTATAACATTCGACGTTTATTCATTTTCACCTATTAAAAAAAAAAAGATACAAGCTCCTAAAGTTCTGGGCGCAATCATTTTTGATTGGTATACCTAAGATTATTGTCGGATTTAGAGATGACAATGGGTTCGTTAAGGAGATACAAGAACTCAAGACATTGGAAATTCCTAGAATGGTCCGAGGAAAAAATGGGATGTGGGTACGTGCACGAACGCGCGAGATATTCCATTTAATGAGATCGATTTTTTAATTTTCATATGTTATAATCATTATAGGATGCCACTATTTGTCTAAATTTTGCCAACGAGTTCTTCGATTGGCTGAAAACTATTATCGTTAAAAATGACCCAAGATCATCATATACCATAACATACAAATACCCATTTAAAAGTATTCAGGTAATGTTTGCTGGCGCAGAAAATCCAGTATTGGCCGAGAGACACCTCGAATCCTTGAAAAGTGATTCCTAAAATGCCGTCATTTAATGAATATTCATATTCTACATTAATAATCAATCGATGCTCATTTATACATAAATATTATCAGTTTTATTATAAATGATTGAACTAATTAGGTTTTCCCGATGCTAATCAGTATACATATCTGGAAGGTCAAATTTCATTACCAAAAATGGAAATTAACCCGAAAAATGAAATGATCGCTTGTCATGACACGTCGGGGGGCACATGAAATTGACTACTTATATGGAGTATACATTTAGAAATCTGAAAATGATTCATCCATAATTATACTCTTCTTTTCGCGGTGTAAAGTGGATGGAGAGAAGAAGCGAAAAGAAAATAAAGGAATAAAATCTCTTGATGAAGGAGACACCACTTCACAATGACCTCAAACATGCCGTGCACAAGTAGTAAAGATTGTGACATAGAGGAACTTCTTTGTGCTCTTGACCAAAACACCAATTCTTATAAATGCAAGCCAAATGCATTCGTGCCAAGAGATACTCGGATAATCTATCATTTGTTTTTGCCACGATATCCTTCTAAAGAACGAAAAACTTATGACCAGACATCTCAGCCTCCTCCGTCACAAAAAGGTTTATACGCTCGCATGAAGCTACTTGACGTGGGTAAAAGTTGTGTATCCGATGAACAATGTTTTTCTAATAACTGTGAAAATTCGGTTTGCACCTTAATAAATGAATCCGCAATCAGGAAACAAAGTGTTATTGCTGCAGGTGTTTTCGCGTCGTTATTGATGGCAGGGGTTATGATTTTTTTTGCCTTGAAAAAAATGAGGCGGAGAAACAAAGGTATCTGAATAAAAATGTTATTTTTTTTCTTATATATATATATATATATATATATATATATTTGTTAATTCTCTTTTAATTATAGTGAAAAATGTGCAGTTTAACAGCATGTGTAGCACCCAAAGGTTAAGCATTGCAAGTACAACTTCTAAAACCAATTCAATTATCACCATTAACGGTGAGAACATAACCGATGGACCTTACTTCGGCGACCAAAATCCTTATATTCTGCCGTTGCATCGGAGTTCGAACTCATTTACGAGCGATCATATATTTAGTCTGTTTTCAAACCAACATTCACATGAAAGAAGATACACCCCCGCCTTTTTACCAATAATACCACAGGCAACATTAAGGAATTCACCCGAAGAGTGGGAAAATGGAAACAGTTTTCCTGAAAAAAGAACTAATGGTACACTGCATCCTCGCTATTCTCCTGATGAAAGAACTCCATTGGATTTGGTTGAAAATACATTCAATGAGTGTCCTCCTCCTGCATATTTAAAGGCAGAGAAATAAAAATCAGACTGATCAATAATTAATTTGCAATATAATATAAAGAAAGGTATTCATAATTTATTAGGAATAACAATAATTTATGATTCACAATTAATTGTTAGATATAATTAATAATTGGAATAACAATTGCAAATTTGTATTATAATATAAATATTAATGTTAATTAATTTATTTTTAAGTTATATTATTTTATTTATATTGACAAAAAAAAAAAAAAAACTCTTTCCCACAGATCCATTTTTTCTAAAAAATTTTCTTTTATAGTAATTTTTAAAGGAAAAGAAAAAGCGAACGGAAAGATGTTCTCTCAAAGAGAACTTTGTAGCAAAATGGCTCAGTGGAGATCTAACTACAATGAGAACATTCTCACAGAGGTAACACAAACAAGTCACACAAAGAAACAACAATGCAAGCAGTAAAGAAAAATATTATAACCAAAGGGAAAACCAAAGAAAACAATCAAAATGAAACCTATATAGAAGACTCCAATATTCAAAACCTGTCCCAAAACCTGGTAACATAGGCCACAATATTTAATCTATCAACAGCAACTGTTCAGACTATCAACTGGAGTAAAGAAGTTGAAGAAAATATTTCAGTTATCAAAGATCCAACAATGAATCAATCCAATAGTATTTCAATAATAGCCAATATAAAGACGTAAGAAAAAGCCTTCCAAGAATCAATCAACGAGATATAAAAAGTAATACATATAGATGACTCAGACATGAAGATAGAAATAGAAGAAGAAAATCAAATCTCAACTTTGTGATGATAACAAGTTGATAACAAGAGCAAACAAAAGCTAAACAGTTGAACCATTAAATCAAGATTTCTCTCTTTTTTTGATAAAACCATCTGCTATAGCAAAGAGAGAATCAAGATCAATATCCCAGCTATAGACTTGCCAGGCAAAACTACAGCTCAAAAGATAACTTTTTTTATCAAGGTCCTAAACTTATCAGATAAATTGATAACAATTTGAAGCGAAAAGAAAAAGAGGCAGAATACATCATTGCCATTTTAAGTAATAAACAAGAAGCAATTGAGATTTGCGACCCCACTATCTATATAGATAACAAATATATAGATCTCATAAAATATACAAATTCAATTCTAAAACAGAAAAACAGTATCAAAATATAAAATATTTCTCTAGACATCAAACCCATAGAAATATAACAATTCTTTACTAAATATGAAGCAATTAGCAATATTACAATATCAATTCAACAAATGTAGCAGATAGCTATAATCACTTATACAAATAAAGAGAATAAATATGTCCTAATTGGCAGCTGGAATATCTCTCTCAAAACAGATTTTGTAAGAGTCTTTAATATACAATGGAATATGGATCAGATGAAAGTATATAGTCAAACCATAGCAAAACTTACCAATCTTCTATTCAATATCATTACTTTTAACCTAAGAAGAATTTGCAAACAAATCAAGATCAAGACCTATTATATTCCAAAAAGAATGTTATATCAAAAAAAGATATTTGTGATCATTAGTTTCATTAGTCAGGAAAACTTATAAGTTGTCACATCTCAAGAATTTCAACTTAAAGACTTTAACTACACCTGGCAACTGATCGAAGCCAAACTATGCACAATCTGTAACAGCCCAGATCACCTACTCAACAACTGCCTTATCAAAGAAAGAAGAATGCAATAGAGGAAATACAATAAAGAACAAGTGAACAAGTTTAATAAACTATATAATAAGTTCAGACCAGCATATACTACTTCAATCAGAAATCAAACCAGATCCCCCTAGCATCATCATATCAAACCAAGATCCTACACAGCAGCAGCCAAATCTGAACAATGCCAACCAAGCTAAGTGGAAGAGAGTACCTCAACACTAATTGACATTATAGCTTTTCTAAAAGAAATCAAACAAAAAATTGAAAAGATCAAAGAAAACATCAATCTAAATGAAAGAGTATACAATCTGGAGATCCCTAAAGACAACCTCATAGATACCATAATAACTGAGAATAAAAAAGAAAATCTCTCTAATCAAAACAAAACATCTAATATACAATCAAATTAAAAGAAGCATTCTAATATCCAAGCTCAATAATAACAGATCAATGAGTCTATAAGCAGAATGAATCAAAACATGTATAAGGTACTAAATGCAATCTCAGAACTAATTCTTAGCATAGCCTTCTTTTTCCCTAGAAATTATTAATGAGTAATATATCAGAACCTTTCTCATCAAAAAATTCACCATATAATATTTACAATACACAAATAGAAAAAACACTTAGAGACACACAAAAATGTGCATTAATAGATCTTACTACCATTCCCAAACAACTATACAATAGAAAACAACTCTAACAATATCAATTCAATAGTACATACTGACTTAAACATTTAACATCCAATTTAGCAAATCACAACGATCAATATCCAAGGCCTAACAAATAAATACAAAAGAGAAACCTGGTTCAACTGGTGTGTCACAAAAGGCTAGAATATCATAGTAACAACTGAGATCAATAGTACTCACCAACAATCAAAACATTGAAAACATCCATTTTATAACATAATTTGATCACACAATAATGAACAGATACTTGGACAAGGACTAAACCTGATGATAAAAAAAGATATAGCAGATTGCATTTACAAATATGACACCTGGAAAGGAGACTCATCTATTTAGATCTCATCTTTCCCAAAAAACAAAAACTTAGAATCATAGGCATTTATTTTCATGCAAACAAAAGAGACAAAGAATGGCAAAATACTCTCAACAAACTGAAGCAATGGATGAGAGAAGCCCTCCAAAAAAACTGGCACCTCCTTATCTTAGGGGACATCAACAGAGTTCCCAATTCAGTATGGGACAAAAGTAGCATGTACAAACAAATAACATCTAACAAACCAACAAGTTCCCAAATAAAAATTCTTATAGACTACAGCCTAAAGGACACATACAGACTCTACAATTCAAGCAAAAGAGAATTTATCTGATACTGAAATAATAGCTATAGTAAAATTGATCAAATCTGGATAAACATATTCCTCTCGTGGCAAAGTAAAAAAGCCTATATTAAAGAAGCCTTAGACTCTTTAATTTCTAGTGACCACAGACCCACCATAACTAAGATAGAAACATGGCAACTAAATTTTTACAAGGAGATCTTCCATCACAAATCAAATCACAGGTACAACTAGCAGCTGGTCAATAGTAAACAATAGAAAAAATTCTTCCTAGAAGTTGATAAAGCTCTCGATAACCAAAGCAAAAAATTAAAATCGATAGATAGATAATGAAATAGCATATGCAATTACATTCTAAAAGCAGCCAAGCTCTATATCATCAAAAAAAACAATATAGGAAAAAAAGAATAATCAGCAAGGAAGATACAACTAAAAACCTCTTAACACAGATGCAACTCTTTCACAATAAACTAAAAGCCATCCAGAAAACCAACAAACCTTCTTCCACCCTGCCAAAACAACTTCAGAAAAAGTTTCTAGACATTTAGTAGCACCTGACAAAGCTAAAGGTAGAGCACACCAACAACTTTCTGCAGCATTGGCTAGATTATATACAGAAAATCATATATGGTCACAAAGTTATTGCTTAAGCAATCACTTACAGAAAACAAGCTCTAGTAATCAAATGTAGAATAATAAGTAGATAAGAATACTTAGTAACAAACAAAAAAGCAATGATCAACAGAATCATAGAAAAATCCAGAAGAATCATCATCCTGAACAAGATAATCATAAAAGGTAAAGAAGTATTAATTATAATCAATTCAAAGGAAATCAAAAGCAGGGTTAGACAACACTTTCAAGACTAGACACTGGCCAGAAAAATCAGACCAGTCTTCAACTTCTCCTACTGGATAGCAGAATATGAACCAAAAAAGAATATTAACTCCAGATGGTACCAGCCAGATCTTGTCAAAATATCTATTAATGGAATCAAAAAAGCAACATAAGACAGAAGTGCAAAATTAGCTCCTGGGAGAAATCAGATCTCCTATATAGCTTAGGAGCTAAAGCAATAAAAAAATTTGTTTTCTTTTTAACAAAATAATCAGAGAAGAAAACATCACAAAAGAATAGAGCAAAGTTGCTATTTATCCAATACCAAAACCAAAAGATTGACAAAACAATCTATATATAACAAGATTAATCACACTTCTGGATACAAAAAGGAAAATTTTTACAAAAATTATCACAGACAGATTGGTACGATGTATAGGAGACTACAAGATTCTTTTAGAACTAAATCGAGCAGTGCTTTTCAGCTGCAGCATACAGGAACCAATCTATATAATAAACAATATTATCAAACATACAAAAGATACAAACAAACAAGTTTAGATCCTCAGTCAAAACATGTCAAAGGCATATAACTCAACCAATCTGAAAATGCTAACCTTAGCTCTCAAATGCATCAGGATCTCTCCTTATATTATTAACATTCTTCTAAATATATTTAACCAAAGACAAAATATAGTATTGATATATTACGGATCCACAACAGAATATAACATTGAGAATAGTATTGATTAATAAGACACAATATTCCCACTCCTTTGATATATCTTTTATGACTCCCTTATAAACAAAATAGATCAAAACTTTTCAAAATACACAATCTTTACAAAGATATGCAAAAATCTTTAAGAAGGTTGGTTGACAAAAAAAGTTAATATTGCAGTCAATGCCTATATAAATGACATTACCTGAATCACAGGTAACATAGACACATGACAGAAATTATCAAAAAAACTGAGGAATTTTATCACATCAATGATATTAAAATCAATTCACAGAAATCACAACTTATTATCATCAATTAAAAAGAAAAAAACTTTGAGCAAGGAATAGTAATAGACAATTAAACTATCTAGAGTTGCCCAAAAGAATACCAGTTAGAATCCCAGGCATGTGACATGACAGCTCAGGAAAGAAAGATTATCAAAGAACTTTAATCCAATAGAAATTTAAAAAGATTAA